TATCGTGATAAATGGTCTCATCTTAAAATTCATTGGGCTCATTGGGTGGCTCCGGGTCACAGCATGTCACAGTTAAGCCATGTTCGGCTTTTTGAGGAGCTGGGGTCCAGATGTTTCATCAAACCACGTCCGTCACCGAAAAATAGAAGCCATGGGCATCATGGGGACCCCACAGAATAACAACCAATTTCCAGTGGACTCCACTCATAATTAAATACATACTCGGAGCAATCCTATATTGGATTGTTGATCCACTCGGCACACCAACAGAGTAACAACAAATATAGGATTTGGTTGGTATTGCCTAGGAGATCCTAGGAGCAATCAGGAGGATCTACTGACTTGACTCTGCAACGGGCGCCGTCACTGCTTGGGCGGACAACCTCCACTCCTTTGCGGGCGGAAAACGGTGAAGCGTGCCAGGTCCCGCAGGCGCGTCGGAGGGCCTGAGCATCGGGCTGGAAGGACCGAGACAGCGGTGATCCCAGTTGCCAGTGGATGTTTTCATGTCTACCGCTGTCTACCTAATTCTAGTGGGATGATGTGGGATGTGGATCCATTGGAAGAAAAGTTCTTGGCCAAGGAAATACCTTGATCCTTGATGAATTGTTGATCAGCAGCGATATTGATGTAGATCAGTTTCCAGCCAAAGAAGAACACTGAAGCTACTTCACTTCACTGCCCTCTCCGAAAAAAATCGTGCCCCCCTTCCGAGCTTCCCCCACAGGTGGGGAAGTTGGACCAGCGTCGGAAGGCCAAGGGGATCGCTGGGCACAACAAGTGCTGGTAATCGGGCCTCGGGTCGCCGCCGTTGAACGCGTCGTCACCGAAGTCAGTGGAGTCAGTGTCGGAGAATGGGTGAAGTGCCCACATGCAATCGTGTCGATGGAGACAAAAGAATTGCTTTCAAAATTGGTTCATATACAGCATGTAGAACAGGTTCCTGCCATCCCTTCGATTTTGGTGATCAATTGGGTCATCTGGAGTCTCACTATTGGTGGTCATTGCTTTTAGGCTTTTAGGATTCCTCTCCTAACTAACTTAGGCGGACGAAAAGAATCTCTTCAGCCTCATCTGCAGCTTGTCTCTTCCGACGTGCTTCCATGTTACTCCGAGACCTCAGGCTGTCGAGGACCCCTGCAGTCGATGCGTGTTGTAGAGCTGCGAATACTCGTCCCCACCAGCACGCCTTGTGCTTCGCAAGAGTTTCCGCAGCTACGAACGGACCAAGGGTGCTACTAGTAGCTCCTGTCATTAAATACTAGTAACAAGAAGCTACTAGTAACAAAGGGCATCGCTACTAGGAGCAAGAAGCTAGTCGACTTATCCAAAATAACTTGTGTCGTTGCATCGCACTCCATTTCGCACGTGATGACAAAATGGTGCCATTGCTTAGTAGAATAAAAGTGCTTGAACATCCGTATCCTCGAGTACTTGTCAATCACGTTATTCTCGATGTCTCTCGATCTTGTCCAACATAGTATCATGATGCAACTTTTAATGATGACTGATGAAGGAAGGAAGCCTTTCCAGACTCGCCTCTTGCTGTATCGCCAATGCTTGAACTCGTACTCCCACAGCGCCCAGCCTGTTAGTCCCGAAAGCAACCGACCGCTCACTTGGAATGGGAACGGTCGAATCCTTTCAAGGCCTTGTCCTATGGCCTCAAAGAAACATGAAGACAATGAAGACACGATGTGATATTGGCTTCGGCCAAAAATGATCGCATGTTCTCCTTTACGAGCGGTTGCAAGCACTGCTACATGATGTCACAAATGGCAAAGATTGACACATCAACAACAAAGCCATACAAAGCCCCAGTTTTCCCCGCAGACTGTCAGTACTTGGCTTCAGCATCCACACCTTGCCCCCAGTACTTGCCTCACATGGATCTCTCAGCCGGCGCCTTCTAAAGCTGAAGCCAAGTCCTCCTGGAAATCCATGAAGTCTTCGAAGACTTTCATCGCAAAGCCTCGTCGCGTTCACATCTTCGGTTCGCCTTCCATTTCGATGTCAATCTCCTTTTGAGGGTATTTGATCATATTCGGCACCCAAAGAGGGGTAGCAAAGCCCCTAGGGATCTGCCAAGAATGTCCAACTCTGATGCTGTGCTTGGAGTGAATTGTTTTCTCTGGTGGTGTGTTGCAATCAAGTAAACCCAACATTGTTCAACCAACGTTAGAATAAGTATATTCAAAAAGAGATAAATAGAGATAATATGTAATTAGTCATCGTAAGGCGTTAACAACCTGCAGGCAGCCCGATAGCAGGGGCCATGACATTGATTATGGCACCTCTAAGAGCCGTGGGACCCCAGTTCCCCGAATCACCATTCATCCAACCTGATATGCTCCCCTTCGCCGCTGGTTCCTGCCGCTCATGCGCCCAGGCTCTAAATGGCTCTAAATGGCTCACTGAGGGCTGGGCTTTTCCCACTCATCTTGTTCGACTTATACCCTGTCCTCAGACCCACCCAGTCTCATATCAGAGCTTTCATGCTTGCCAGTGAAGGCAAGTTGAGATGCAACACGTGTCTAAAAATCAGCTGTTTAGCCTAGGAGGCACGGGTAGCCGCGTAGCCTGTTCACATCTATTTTATCTCTTCACGGGTTTGGGAAGCTCTGTCCAGCCCCCGAATCATGATCCTGGATGTGGGATGTGATCGTGCCGAGTTTACATGGATACTAGTGAACCCCACATCCAGCAAACGACGTTAAACAGCTTTGAAATTTAAGTTCTGCCACATACTTGCTTGGTTTCCTGCAGAACTTACCCATCTGTGGTCATCCTTAAGGAAAGACTTGCTCTTCCACACTAGGTGTTAAAGTGTCAAGGTCGTTGCACAATCAACTACTCCCTAAAGCTTCAAGCCTGGAGATGTACTACTTTCTCACATCAGAGCAGGGGTGGTTGTCTCAGGCGGGCAGATTTGCTGGATGCTGCTCGGTCGCGAGGGTCTTCCTGACCCCCCCTCCAAGAACAAAGACGAAACATGATTGAAACCAAAAGGACCAGCCAGACCTTGCTGGGCGAACCTGCTCGGCCCTGTCAGCATGGGCTGCCCGGGCTCTGCACGAATAACTTCGTGCAGAATGTCCTCAGGTTGCAGCTACGATAGGTTATTGGGATGCTCATGCGCTTGGGGATAACCCATCTCAGCGGTTGAAATCTAACACTGTAATTATGAAGAGTGATGCATCTGGTGAAGATCGGGTCATTTGGGTGGTTGGTAATGGTCGTTTTTTTTTGAGACGCTCCACATGAGGACACCTCTTCAAAGCTTCAGAATTGGAGTGTATCCCACGGAGCCCAGAGAGATCCAGGCATTGTCGCACACCTGCGGCTCCACCTCGATGTGCAAAACCTCTTAAGGTCCCCTCTGAATATGAAGAGTCTCTGATAGACTATCGTATCGAAAATGGCAATCAAAGGTTTGGAAGGTTGCGGTGGGCAATGGACTACAACAAGTGGATGGACATGGATGTTCAAGTGCATTCAAAGGCCAAATGTGCATTAATATGCATTAATGATCAACTATCAGTGGGTCTCATATGTTATTCGGCTCAGATCATATTCTTGGCTTTGCTGGCGTTATGCAAAGGCAACTCTGAGCATGAATGCAAAGACTGTTGGGTCAGTGAAAAATCATGTGTATCATCCCTTCGGCAAAACGTGTTTGTGTCTCCAGGTGTAGCTCCAAAGTCGTCACCGGAACGATGTTGCACGCGAAGAAGAGATCAGCCATGTCCCAGGAACAAACGTGCACAACAGACAACCTGGTATACACAACCCTTTGCACAAGCGCTTGAGAAGCTTCCAAGGCACAAATTCATGAAGCCGCTTTTGAGAAAGAAGGTGTCGTCCATAGATCACCACCTTGGCTCTACTCGACATCGTGGGATCGCTCCGGAGTGGGTGTCCCCCCCAAAAGTCGTCAACTCATCAAACATCTCTAGTAGGTTGGAGGCCATCGCTCTTAGGTTGGAGGCCATGGCTATTAGGTCAACCCAATTCCAAAAATATCAAATCAAAAAAAGGACTTCGTGAACTGATGTCTGGTCCATTCAACCTGGCCTGGCAAAGGCAGTCTGGCATTTCTCTTCCCACGAATTGAATTGGAGGGACTGCCTTGCCACTGAAGCACTGCGGAGTTCCTTCCATTTCCCTGCATTTCCCGACCACTCTCTTTTTGCAAGTCATTCTGGTGCCCGCTACTTCTGCCGATTTCAAATTTTCAACAAGCTGGCTGGCTCCACCTGTCGTCCATCCCTAAGAAGCAAACCCGGCACGGAACCGGTGACTCCATTTGGGAGGCCATCGCTACTAGGTGCCCCACAGCTTTCATGAAGATCTCAGGGCAATCCAGCTCAGTGCCTCTGCGGACGGATGGGAGAACTGGCAGAACCCCTTGTCTTGCTGAAGGCAGTTGGAAAGAACACTTCGTATTTAGGTGTGGTGCTATCCAAAGCCAGCGGTGGACCGGTGGAATCTTCATGTTGGGTCATGAATCTTCTTGCAGAATCCTGGACCAAACAAAGGGCCTGAAGCGTGCCAAAAGGTTGAAAGGTTACAGTAGCCACAATGACCCTCCACTTTGGGGACCCTGCTGGCACCTGCTTTACGTGTTTTTCCGCACGCTGGTCGCTGGGTCATGCTGGGTCACCCCCAGTTCTCCGGGTCTCCCAGGCGGGCAAAGGAGAAGATGTCTTTCGCATCGTCGGGGCTCTGATAGCCAAACCTGGAGGTCCGGAAATTCGGAACTCTTTTGACTTGAGAAAAATGAACGATCTCATCTCCACCCTCGTCGATGTAAAAATAGGATCCGGCTGTATGGATCCGTTGTGAACAAATACTATGATACCGGTGTCTCAAAATGGGGTGTTCTCTGGGGGACGGGGGAGGTGATATCTAAGCACTCAGATTGTTGTGCTTCTACCGAAAGGTGCCGGGTCAGTAGTGCAGAAGACTGAGAATCAAAGTTCTTCAGCTGGAGGATCCACCAAATGATGCCAGCTAATGACTAGCAGTAGCTTCCCCTCTCTCTTTGACAGAAAACATGTCAACTGCAATATATAATATCATCAACCGCCGTAACACCTTGCATCATGATCCGGAATGATCTTCAAAAGTCCAGGAAGATCAGCTGTGGGCCTCCCACAAGAACCAGCTTCGCTACTGCTGGCCTCGGGACAGGAAGAGAAGAGCAATGCACGTTCGCCGGTTCTTGAGACGCGGAAATGTCTTGAGTATGCCTCCAATGGAGATGGAAACCAGACACTTTCTCAAACGGTGCTGCTCTATGCTGCTCTGAAGTCGTCTGCTAACCAAAGCAGCTCACCTGGTTGAGGAAGACTTTCTGACCAAAGGACGGAATGTATTGAGCCCATCAAAAGCGATGATCTTTATGTTGGAAAGTTTCTTAGGCCCTCGTCCTTTCCACCTTAGAAGAAAGCCAAAAGAACCAGTTCACTTCGAAGTGTTCGAGTTGAGGATACAAATTATGCAGAGTTCAGATTTGGCTCCGAATCTTGAATGAAAACACGCATGTGTATGGTGAGTAATCAAGTCAAAACCCTCTATGTACAGGTATGTCACGGTATGTCCAATTCGATTGCGGAAGTTCATCGTAGTTCTGCACAAGGTAAATGCTCTCCCTCCAACTTTGTTTTGTGCTTAGGTTGGAGGCCATCGCTCTTAGGATAGAGGCCATAGCTTTGAGGTTGGAGGCCATCGCTCTTAGGTTGGAGGCCATAGCTTTTAGGTTGGAGGCCATCGCTCTTAGGTTGGAGGCCATAGCTTTGAGGTT